ACATATCTTGTGTGGTAAAAGTGAAATTACTGACCCTATGCACAGGAGCCTAAAAGAAATGTTTATTTTAGAAGAAATTGTCAGACGGCATTTAGAGGTTTTTGCATCTGAACTATTCATTTGCTCAGTTATTAGATTTAGTTGAAGTTATTTTAGTGGACAAATGATTGTGTAATGTTGTGACGTGTGACAGGCTTAATGGAAGTCCCCGTTGCGGTGGAATGGTGAGTGTGGGTGTTGTGAGGAGCTGCTGTTTATGCCCTGTTCTCATCCTCAGAGACAGAAACTTTCCTATTGACCCTTAGGCAGGACTTCCTATTTGTAAGATAATCTCAAGCATGTCCACGTATTGGTTAAGTGGGCCCAGAGCCAGACAATGACATGCTGTGAAATAGTTGACCCTCTGAACTAAAGTTGAGTCTATTCTAACTGTGCTATACTTAGAAAACTATAGCACTGTCCCTGCATGCTTAATCTAAAAGCTATTTTTACTAAAGAATGTTCCAGAAAGGTGTATGGTGCAATGGTATAATATAATATAATATAATATAATATAATATAATATAATATAATATAATATAATATAATAATATAATATAATATAATATAATATAATATAATAAATGTGAAAAGTACTACCAATTTCTGAGTGATTTTATTATTATTATTATTATCATCATCATTATCCTCATCCTCATCATCATCATACACATAATTAGAAATAGCAGTGAACAAAGTAGAATTGTAGACTCATGTTGATAAATCAATAATCAAGCAATAAATATTTTGTAAGTTTTTCCCCTTGGTTTTGGCATATTTAAACGATTATTTGCGAATAGCAATCATTGAAGTGGCACTTGGTTTTATTTCAAAGCACAAAATAAACACGGAAAAGCTTTCATCTCTGTTTTAAAAAAAAAAATGGGAAGCCGACCTCTGTTTAATCCATTAGGGTGTTGCACTTCCTGAGCTTTAGGTTATTTTTAAAGCATTGTTCTAAAGAATGTATTCGCAGATAATTATGGAAGATGCATTTGAATGTATTCAGGGAATTGCTTGAATACTATTAATATGTGATTCACATTGCTCAAAATTTCCTCTTGTTTCTAAAATGTTGGAATGTGGAGCTGTCCAGTGCTGAACATGAAGGTTTTTTTTTCATTAGTGCTTGCATTTTACACAACTTGTATCAAGTATGAATCGTTTACCCCAAAATGACAATTTGCTCTATTTATTTATTTTCAAGTTGAAGCTGACTTTTTGCTTCCGTAGAACTGTAAAGGACACATATTTTACCCTTTTTACGAGATGTAAGAGATACACCAAACACCATACTCAAAACACCCATCAGATTATTTATTATAGCCTCCAGAATCTGCCCATTTTGTTGTCTAGAGTATGCTGTAGCTTTATTTGTAGCCTGTGGCTTTAAGTGCAAATAAGCTGTTTAAAACCTGCAGGTAAGTTTGTTGAAGCAAGGTTGGAACTAAACTGTGCAGAACTGCGGCCCTCAAAAATGTGAGTTTGACACCCTTGGCTTAAAGGAATCGTTTACAATCATTCAATTTGTACTGCTTTTCCAGGGCCGGGTCGTGGGGGCAGCGGTCTTAGGACAAAACCCCAGACTTCCCTCTCCCCAGACACTTCTTAGAGCACCTCCGGGGGGATCCCGAGGTGTTCCCAGGCCAGCTGAGAGACATAGTCCCTTTGAGTGTCCTGGGTCTTCTGGAAGTCAATGGTTGCATTTACAGCTTTCATCGAAATATTTTCTTTTTTGTTTAACAGAAGAGGAGTCAAACAATTCTGGAACCGAAGGATAATTAAATGATGGCAGAATTTTCAGTTTTGGAGAACGTATCCCTTTGAGATTTAATATTTAATAACTGAAAGAAAAGGCCTGTTCACCTTATTCTCCGCTTACAAGCGGGTGCATCCATTTTAATTTTTTTTGCCTCGAGACTTCCGGTCTCATTCACTTCCATTCATTTTTAGACATTAAAAACAGCTTGTTTTGCTGCTTAAAGTTGCAAACTGATATTTTCTTACTATAATATTCTTCTTTGTCTGTAGTCATGCAAACACTTGTTTGTAGAGCAAGTAGTTTGACCGTTTTCTGCCATTTATTATTCCTAGTCATTTCTTACATAAGCAACTGAATGGGAAGTACTAAAACAATTTCGAAAACTTCCACATTGAAGAATAAGGTTAATACTCTCTAATTAGTAATGTCTCACATGCATTTACAACCGGCAGTCCAAAGAATCTGCATATGTGTGCGCAAAAGTTGGATTACTCACTTCAGTCAATCAATGACATTGCTGTGAATCGCATTTTAGTCCAGTGACTAAACTACTTAAGTCATGCTAAAGACAAAGAAAACACAAGCACAGAGTCAAACACTGTTTATTGTTCATCTGGATGGTCAGTGAATGTGGTTTTGACATTATCCAGGCCTCTCGAGAGACAGTCATCTGCCCACAGACTTCACTGAAGACCTTTATACAAAATAGTCTGCAGTACAAGAATACTTTAAAAAGGCTTGTGGCTTAAATATGGAATGAAATCACAGCTTGTTTAAATCTTAAAATGACAATAATAACCAATAAAATGTGTTAGTGCTTATCATCTGCATTAAGCAGTAATGAGAGTGGCAGAAAAAGTAAAAAAGTTGTTAAACTTTGACTGGACTTGCTTTTGTCTCTTTAATGCACCTGATTGTCGTGCGCATTGTGCCTTTCCGAAAACATCTGTGGATTTCAGCTTTTGAAAAATCACATAAGACAAAAATAAATTAGATAAGACCTGCAGCTTGTCTCTCTAATGTACAAGATGTTTCCAAAATAGTGATTTCTAACAACAACTACTGGAAAAAGCCGAGCTAAAAGCCTTTCTGCAACTGAATTGGATTACCGGCTCTCGAAACAAAAAACAAGCACAAAACTTCGATTTGAAAATGCATTGATCAATACCCTTTGAGCAGTGAGAGAGCCTTAATGCTCTTCAATAATAAATGACAAAAACAGCATAGCTACGTCATCAGATTGTGAAAATATTGTAGTCAGTCAAAGAGAGTGCAAAACAGCTTTCTGTGGAATGATTACTACATACACTAGCCATCAAAGGTTTGGGGTCAGTAGGATATTTAAATGTTGTAAAATAAACTTCTCCTGCTCAATAAGGCTGCATTTATTTAAACATACAAAACAAATACAGTACAAATTGTACAATTTGGTAATGTTATTGCACTATAAAATAACTGCTCAAAAGTAGTTTATCATTTAATATAATAATTGACTCCAGTGATTTTAAAGATGATTTTTTAGCTTCACTTCTCCAGTCTTCAGAGTGGGACTGTGCAATTTGGGTAAAATATCTGCGATAGTTTCGATTTTTAATTTTTTTGACAGATATTGCAATTGTGATTTGATCTGCGATTCATTTTGTAATCAAGCTTCAGCTCAATCATCTGTAAGCCCTGGCAACAATTCTCCTGTTTTTGTTCGAGACCTGTGACCTTGAAACCAAAATATTGCCATATTACCGACATGCTGTTTTTCTTTGATATTTATTCATGTATTATTGCTTCAGCAGCAGACACCATCATCGCACTTGTCCGTGATTTGCTGTTTGTTTTCTTTTTTTTTTTTAAATTGTGGTCGTAGTTCAGTTGAGCAATTCTGATTGGGCAGAACAAAAGTGAGCTTACTCAATTTTCTAGTAAGACTGTCACACACAGATGGCATGCGCGCATTTGCTCTGGGCAAATAATACTTATATATTTCATATTGCAGCCTCTTGTGATTAGCTAGTAACAATTTTTCAAATTGTATTTGTGATTAAATTTCTGAGTAGGGCAGTAAAAAGCTGTACGATTTGGGGAAAATACCTAATTGCGAATTTTTTTAACAGATATTTCGATTTTGATTCGATTTGTGATTTCATTCTGTAGTCAAGCTTCAGTTCAATATTCTTTATCGCAGATTCTTACTGCTAAAATGCAGTGTGTTAGTTAACATCTATTTAGTTTATTTTTTTAACTAACTCCAACTTTTATTCAAATTTGTTTTAAATATTCAGAAATGAAACACAAATTTTTATGTGCTCCTTTTGTAGGTGCTTGTTGTATTTCCTTGTGCTGTGGCAACAATTCTGTGACAGCTCTTAAAAATATCCTGTTTTTGTTCGGTGTCTAAAATATTCCCATATTACTGACATGCTGTTTTTCTTCGATATGAATTTGTCTATTAATGCTTCTAAAGCACTTGTCCGTGCTTTCCTGTTTGTTTGTTTTATGGTGGGCATTCTGCATGATTCAGTTGTGCAATTTTGATTGGGCAGAACATAATTGTGCTTACTTAATTGGCTACTAAGACTGTCACACACAGAGGACAGTCACGCATTTGCTCTAGGCAGAGGAAATTAAATAATATATTTATTTCCTATCGCAGCCTCTTGCAAATTGCAATTTGATTTCGATTATTCGCACAGCTCTACTTCAGAGTCACATGATCCTTCAGAAAACACTCTAATATTATAGTTATTATTAATGGTAATAATAATAAAAGCAATAATGACTGGAGCAATAATTTCATTTGATATTACATAAAATAAGCAGTTATTTAAAATTTTTGTAAAAATTTAACAAAAAAATTACATTTAATAAATGCCGCCTTGATGAACAAAGTCATTAAAAAAACATGGAAAAAACTGAGCCCAAACTTTTGACAGGGAGTGTATGCTGAAACAAAAATCAACTGGATGTCGCAGATGTTCATTGATCACCTTAAAAAATAATGAAGTGTACAAGAATTCTTACAGTAAACTCCAACGTTAGTATCATAGCATACAAAACCCTCTCAATAAAGCACAATTAACCTCCAATTTTTAATACAAAGCTTACATTCATATGATATTTCTGCTTCATGAGAAAAATAGTGTTGCTTTTATAAGCTGATGAAAAAAGTGACAATGAATATAAAAACATAAAAAAGCACACAATCCTCACCATCACAATTTATAAAAGCTTTGAGATTCAAATCTATTTACAAGCATCAGTAGTGGAATGGACACATTTCTGCAATAGTCCTGCTCGGAAGAAGAGGGAAAAAAACAAAAACACCTGAGGATGACAAACACATCCGTAAACGTTTGGCCTCAGAGATACACATCCATGGTCTGAAGGATCATGTGGCGGCACAGAGGGCAGTTCTGTTGGTACATTGGCTGGCGCAGAAGAATGTTGGTGCACTCTCTGCACAAACACAAGTGACGGCACGGCAAGAGCACAACAGTTTTAGTGCTGTCCTGACAAATCACACACTTTTTCCTCTCCTCTTGCTCCTGCAGGAGATTGAGAAGGTTGTCTGTTGGCGGGCCTCTGCAGCTGTCCTCAGATGGAAACTTTCGGAGTGGTCTGTGAGCGCTGGAACTGGGAAGTGGAATGTCAGGCTGGGGGGCGTCTTCGGGAACATCTTCCACCTCCTGGTTTGGTACATTTAGCTCAACTTGTGGCTCAATATTGGGCTCAGCTTGACCAATATCTCTTTCTGCAGCTACTAAGAGGCCAATCCGGCTGCGATGCCATGCTAATCGCTGCCAAACATTCCTCTCCAGCACATAGAGTCGCTGTAGAACCATTTGGAGTCGGCGTAAAATAGGTACAGTGTTAACATAGGTGATCATGCGCAGAGATACTTGTCGTGGAAGCGCAGGGTTCAGATACACAGTCGCACCGGTGATGATCACCAACGTGAGAAGCAGCCCGTAGGAATTGAGCAAAAATATGCTCACAAAAATGTGACACGCTGATCCCAAAAACTCCATCGCTAGTCTGCATGGTGTCCACAACAGGATGGAGGTGCCAACGAGACTGCTGTAAAGAAAGGTCAGCACGGTTAACGCCAGCTCTAGAGCTTTCTGCAGAGGACATGACACCGCTTCCACAGTGCTCACCAACAGCGAGTATAAGTTCTGAGTGCCTATGAGGAGCAGGTTGACTATGGTGTTGATAAAATACAGCAGCAGGCTGAATAAAATCCCAAAGCCTTCCCAAGCCTGTCGAAGCAAACCGTGTCCGGACAGCAGGCCACGGTGAAGGAGCTCTTTGGTGCGTAGCAGTAGATGTGAAGACAGGTATCCGATGATCTTGAAGCTCTCCAACACACCTCCAAGCAGCTGAGTCCAGCCTCCGACCATGTTATGGGTCACGACGGTCACTCCGTCCCTCATGGTGATGATGCACAGCAGAGTGAGGTTCCAGCACTCAAACACCGAGTTTGTGAGGAGCATGGGCAGACTATTGATGAAGGAGAGCACTGAAACCAACAGCTGAATCAATGAGCTGACGATCACGAAGTTTAGATCCAGAAGGAGGCAAATGACATCTACACATTTTCCCACTGTACTAAACACAATGTTCAGCACACCCATAATAAGCATGTCCGCTCGTAAAATGCCACTTCAGTTCGCTGAGATGAACTGTATATCATCTGTCGTGTTGTTCGTGGTGTCAAACGACAGTTCAGTTTAGTGGCTACACAATCACGCAGCTTTGATAACGTTAGCCGAGTTAGCTCGCGTGCTAACTCTTTCGTATCATAACCTGCCGTCTTGGAAGATTCAAAACAAAGACATTCCGGTCGTACTATAACCGAGGATTAGTTAGAAATCCCATATCATCTGTTTTGGACAGGTACAGTCTTCATAAACACGGTTAGCATCATGAAGTTGCTGCTAACACATGGACGATGCTGCTCGGCGGATGTTTACGTTTGAAAATCGAAACAGCGTCGTGCTGGCTTGTTGTATAAATCTGTACACCCCGAGAACGAGTCCATTGTGTACATTGTGTAATTCAGTTACCCGGTTTGTTTTGTGAAGCTCCGAGGCGACGACAAGCTCAGATGTTTCTTTCTTTCTGTTATTAATCGAGATAATCGAAAGCTTCTCGGTTTGTCTGGGTCCTGTTGTTTCCGCTTTGCAAAAAAACATACATGAAGGGGATCAACTAGGCGCTCGGGCTGCGCAGACACACGGCTGCACTTAGCCAAAGACAATACATAGGGACTTTGACTTAGTGCACTTTGGACACGATCTGATTACACAAACAATAGTTTTTCCTGGAGAATTTGAAGGCTGAAAACAATAATCATTTGTCACTGACAGTCAAACAAAAACATCTTTGCAAGTTTCAATGTATTTTCTGTTGATTAAATCACTGCTTTATTTGTTGGTTAGTTTTTGGTTTCAGGGGTTTGGCGTTTGTTTAAGATGGAGATATTCCACAATATAAACCTCACTAGGCATTTTAGGCGTTTGACGCATGGAAAATAGCTTTTCGTTGCATAATTGTTGATGTAGCCTAAATAATGACTTTAAGACAAGAGGAATGAGCGTAGACATTTTCAAAATGACTTTGGTCTTAATGTGGACTGAAAAAAAATCTTTAATTCATATAGAGAAAACAATGGTATAAGTTCCTATGGATAGAGCAATATTCGATTAAAAAGGTAATATGCGAAAATAATAATAGAATATTTTAAATGGAAATGTATTTCTCTTAGTATATTTATACTAGATTAAAAAATAAAATAAAAAAATTCTGTAGCAGCATAAGCAATGCATTTAAGCGTAAAGTAGATGTTTTCCACTGTCAATCATTTCACTTTTTTACATAACATCGAAAGTTAAAAATACACAATGTAAAAAATAAAGTAAACAAAATCAATAATAACAATAATGATAAAATAAGAATGTAAACAATTTAAATAACAAAATTTACACAATTCAGGGAGGGTCAAATATACACCTAATTGGCAAACTTTGTATTAAATAATAGTGCTGCACGATATTGGAATAATCTAACATAGCGATATATTGTTATTTTGCAATATATATTGCAATATCAGTACATTTCCACCAGATGACTTGGAAAAAAATTATTTGGGATGGTTCCGCAGTGGAAGTGCATCTGCATTAAATCTAATAAAAAATCTATAAATTTAATAAAGAAATATATTAAATTAAAATAAACAGTGTTTTATCGTTTTCCAAGTCTAACAATAGTCACATACAGTAATTGAATAATAAAAATTAAAATAAGTTAAAAAAGTTACAAACGGTAAAATTTCTTATGCCTGGGTGCTTTTAAAATCGTTATAGAGTCACAGCACTCAAAAACACATGCAAATGACATTTTCTAATACAAACTTAACATTGCACATCCTGCGATGTGACTATTACAAATGATCACATTGCAATATCGATGCTGAAATGATATGTTGTGCAGCCCTATTAAATAATATCAAATCTTTGTTCTTAGTATGGAGAGGAGACTGAGAGAAAGTTTAGTTATAAAATTAGACAATATGTACCTGGCAGATTAAAACCAAGCAGTAATTATTTTATGCTTCTACAAAATCTAGATAGAGTAACCCTACATATTCAGTCCATTTGGTTCAGATATTTCTAAATACATTCATTTGAAGGTGAAAGGGAAAAAAAAATTTTTTTTCCATTACATAAATGTTGTTTACAATTTCTAACCACTCTTTTATACACTAGATTTAAAGGGCATCTATAATAAAAAATATTTTTGTAAGCCGTTTGGACAGAACTGCTTGTAGGTAAAGTGTGTCCACAGTCATATTTAAGTCATATAATGACAATAAGTTTATTTTTTTTAATTTCCTGGCATTAAAATAGGATCAAAATCTCTCCCATATTGAGGCCGACATGACGTAGAAGTGTGGTTTTTCCTCACCCACAAATTGATTGTCAGCTGCGTATTAAAATGTCTCCATAGTAACACGTATAATCATATCAACAAGACAGGCCGTGCACAAAGCAACTAGGATTAAAGATCTATTCAGCTCTCTGTGATCATCAATCATCATCAAATGTAAATGTGAGTTTTACAAGTTTAAAACGTTTTTAAAACATAGCATGTTTGTAATAAAGTAAGTTAACTATGGTAAAATCACAATGTAAATCATCACCATATAGCTGCATGTCAGTACAATTATAAAAGAAGAATGATTTATACTGATTTATACATACTTATAACAAAACAGATATCAATAATTGCACTCACTGTGTGTGTGTGTGTGTGTGTGTGTGTGTGTTTGTTTGTGTGTATGTGCATGAACTTTGTAATGACATTGTGTGTGACTCATCATTGCAGAAAGGCTTTAATTAACTCCACAACAAATACATCAAATTATCATTTGTACGAAGGTTTGTTACGTGAGATTTACTTCATGTCTGTCACTGTGCTGTTTATGTGACGCAGGCAAGGCGGAGATTGAGGCACACTCTTACTGGCATGTGGGAACGGTGGGTGAGGAGAACTAGCAATAAAGGTACAGGCCACAAAAACAGCTACATTGTGTTCAGAGCAACAAATTCAACATTCTTAATGGTATAATAAATAATCTGAAAAGTGTTTTGAACTGAAACTTTACAGATACATTCTGGAGACACAAAAGACTTATCTTAAATCTTAAAAAAGGGGTAAAATAGATGCCCTTTAATATCAATTAAATACACATTTGTATCACAATAGAGCTACAAAATGTATTACCCAAACTGATTATATCTTCATGTTTGATTTATATTGTTATATAAATGCAGTTTTTACTAAATGCCTTTAGACTTAATGGTAGGACTCTTAGAATTGCATTAAGAAGATATTAATGTGCATATGAGAAATATGTAATGTATAAGGTAATAATTAATAGGGTTTGTCAACTAACCCATTACCCATTCTGACTTCATGTTATCCAGATTGCTTCCTATAGTTCTGGACTTGATTTTAATGTCAGTAAAGCTTCAAGCCCAAAGAAAATACATTACTGATAAACAGCTGAATGAACAAAAGGAGCGGCTTTGCTTGTCATTACAGAAAGAACAGCAAAATTAGTCAGTGTTGCACAATTTATGAATCCTCTCATTAAAATTTCATGGGGAAAATACCCACACATGCAAACACACAAGCCATTTGGCGTATTGGAGGACACAAACGCTGATCTGCCGAGCATTTGTCAGGGCCGGCAGGTCGAACACTCTTTAACCTTCGTTTGAGGCCAAACACACATTCTCAGCTATGGCCTCTTGGGAAAATAAACAAACTACACTGATCTGAGACCCCCGTTTGGATGTAACAAAGCCCTGGAGAACAGATTTCCTTTGACACATTTCCTTCTTCCAGAGCATAAAACAAAACATAACTGCTGTGTTTTCCATTCCTCCAGGACACTTCCACCCCATTAAACTCAATGACAGTCTTTAAGTGTTCCTTTCTGTTGTTGTCTGTTCTGAGTATTCAAGGAAAGGGAAACAAAATACTTGTAAACCAATTCTGACAGGTTGTTGTCATTTTATTGATGGTTCCATTGTTTCACTAACATTTCACCTCCAACAAAACACTGTATTTACTCTCATATTTCACAACAGCTTTTGGATTCATTCAGGATGAAACATTGATGTGGTCTTCTTGGCATTTCATTTGAAGCAAACATTGTCCTTATTTACAAACTATTGAAATTGATGACGCTCAAAAACAATGTTGGAGAATTCATAGACATATGTTATTGGCTACTTGTAAAATGTAACTTAAAGAGATAGTTTACCCAAAAATGACAATTACCTATTTTTTTCTCTCTAATTTGGTTTTAAACTTTTATTATATTCTATCTTTCTTAACCACAAAAGAAGATATTTTGAAGAATGCTCATCCACTTCCATAGTAGGAAAAGAATACTATGGAAGTCAATAGGTGCCAGCAATCAGCATTTAACAAAATAAGGGTTTAAAAAACAAGAGAAGTGTGAGTAAATGATGGCAGAATTGTAATTTTTTGTGTGAACTATCCCTTTAATGCCTTTGTATTGAGACTATTTGAAAATGATCCCGTAATTAGTCAATTTAAACCCATTATTCATCGTTTCGCTACACTACCCATTGTTCAGGCAAAGTATTTGTAGTTAAAGTTTGGTTATAAAAATGATAACCAATCTACCAAACAACAATAAAGAAGGTCATTACCCATTTTTTAGGGGTGAAACTGCACAATGTGTTACAGTTTCCATTATGTTTAGCATTTGACTGGATTGAGAGAGTAGATGTTGGTTTTACATGTTTTATGTATTTCTAAGTAAACAGGAATGCTAATTAGAACATTATATTGATTTACAGGTGTGTTGAACATTTAGAAATCTGTCTATGTTGGTGTTTTGTGGTTCATATTGTGAAGCAGGAGCTTAGCTTGCTTAGCTTGCTGTAGACTGATCAACAGAGATGCTTTGTTCAATGGCTGTTGTTAGCATGCTATTATGCGCCATTGTTTGGTAACAATGAGCTGGAAAAGCTTCAACAGATTACTTTGGTAAATCTAATTTTAGTTCGGTTCACTTGGTTTTCTGCTACATCTATAAAAATGTTTGTTTAGAGACTGTGTATTTGCCAAAATTAACAGAGTGAAATATTTTTCTTGACATGAGAAAATTTGTTTAGCACACATTAAACCCATTGTTAATGATGAATTGTTGGTTTACCTATTTACTTTCAGAAATAAAAGAACAAAAGTTGTCACTGAAACTACACCTTTGCACCTTTTTTAACTCTAAAGTGTGCAATAATTTATTCATTTTCTGTTAAACACAAAAAAGATATTTTAAAAGAATGACTATTGTTGGAAGCCATTGACTTATATAGTATTATTTTAAACGGTTTGGTTACATTCTCAAAACACATTTTTATTAGTGTGTTCAGTGTAAGTCAGAATCTTCAAAGTGAATAAATTTAATTTTGTAGGACCTAAAGTTTTACGTGTACACATGGAAAACACAAAACAAAATACAACAAACTGTTAATTATGTTCCTAATGTCCCCTAGAGTTCCTTCTGAACAGTTCTTAAAAGAACATTCATTCATTCATTCATTCATTCATTCATTCATTCATTCATTCTCCTTCAACTTAATCTCTGATTTATCAGAGGTTGCCACAGCGGAATGAACTGGCAACTTTCCAGCATATGTTTTTTGCAGTGCATACCCTTCCATTTACACACATAATCATACACTATGGCCAGTCTAGTTAATCTAATTCACCTATATATAGCGCATGTCTTTGGA